AGTCGGGTGCTTCTGGTGGCACCGGTGAAGCGAAAACCGTAGAATCGGGAGGCAAAACGCTGGCCGGGGTTTCTAGTGTAAGCTGATGCTCTAGGGATCGGGGTGAGCGTTGGGGCATTCCCGAGCCCACCTCCTGTTTGTCCTCATAAGCATGTTTTGGCTCATCCAGAATCAGATCCCGTTGGGCCTGTTCTATAGCCAGCCTCTCGCACTCGTATGCATCTTGAAAAGCTACCCGCGACGGTGATGACGCCATGGGGGCCTGGCATTTTGAGCTTGAGGTAGGTGTAAGTGGGGATTGCCCTGAATTTGGCATAGTAGGGTCTCCGGAGGATGGCATGGTAGGGATTCTCGAAGTCTATGACTTCAAAGAAGAGTGTCTCCTTGCGGTAGTGTACCTGGTCACCGAACGTGATAGACAGAGTGATCGTGCTGAGGGGCATAACCCGTCGTCCGGGGATGATCCCATGGAACAGAGAATGTGGGGGGCGCAGTTTGCTTGCCTCGATGTTTAGCTTCTCGAACGGATCCTTGTAAAGGATGTTTATGCCGCTTCCTCCGTCCATAAGGACTTTGGTCATTTTTACGCCTCCCACGACTGCGCTGACCACCAAAGGGAATCGTCCAGCCTCGATGACATGATCGGGGTGGTCATCCCTATTGAAGGTGATCGAGCGCTCCGACCATCTTAAATAAACAGGAACTGCAGGTGCAGTGGCAAAGATGAGACGTTAGGTTACCTTTTTGCGACGACGGTCCTCGTAGGCTTGTGGGGCCCTAAAGATGATCATGACACCCTCGATGTTGGGGTAGCAGCCTTTGTCATCCTCAATCTGCGCCGTCCTTCCCCTTCTTCGGGCGGCCGCCCTTCGTCTTGTCCTTGCTAGCTTCAATGATCTCACGTATGTAAGTATGGCAGTCCCTAGCCAAGTGGTTCACGGGGAAGCCATGGCTTTGACATGTCTAGTTCATGATCTCATCGAATTTTGCACAGCCTCCATGGCTTTGTTTGGATTTATTTCCTTCTTGTTTATCGACGTTGGCCACGAGCTCGCCTCTACACTTTCGATCCTTCTTTGTTAGTGGGGATTGGTCCACGTCGTTGGTGAGTCGCGATTTATATTTGTTGTTACTGACATAAAAGCAATCTTCGCCGTCGGCGTGCTCATGGGCTAAGGCGAACATGTGGCGGAGACTAATGTTCTTCCTTCGCCCAATGTCCCGAATAAGGGGCTCGCTATCGACGCCAGCGGTATAGGTAGTGACGATGCTAGCGTCGGGGACGTCCTCAAGTTTATTCTTGCGCTGTGTAATGCGCTTTATGTAATCACGGAGACTCTCGCTGGTCTTGCGTTTGCATCCCAGGAGGTTCCACGAGGTGCCTAGCTTAGTGTAAGCCTGTTGGTATTTATTAACTTGTCACTTGTTTAAGTAGCCACATAATGTTTATTTCTTAGCATCACTTTTACTATGTTGTCATCTCTCGTGCTCCCCTACTGCTCCACTCCTTCTCTCGCTTGCCCACCCCGGCGCGCGCCCTCCCCCACCCAGGTGTCCTCATCCCTCACCCCGACGGCGCCCCTCTCCCACCTCGGCATCCTCACCCATCGGGAGCCCCCAATACCCTAGATCCGGTCTCCCTCACCCTAGCGAGATCGATCGAGCACGAGCGAGATCCTTCGAGGTGGCGCAACAGTGTTGCAGGTGATTGGGCGGCTCTCCCCTACCCCAGCGCGGCGCCCTCCCCACCCCCGGCGGCACCCTCTCTCACCCCGGCAACCGAGCTCTCCCCACCCCGGCGGCCATGGCTCCGTCCCCACCCGCGGTGGCGCCCTCTCTCACCTCGGCGACCGAGCTCCCCCACCCCGGCGGCCATGGCGCTCCTCGCCCCGCATCCCCCAACCTTTTTCCTCCCCTATGTTGCATATGCATGTTTCAAGTGTTTTAGGCGTTTCAGATGTATGTTGCAATTGTTTCGTATGGATGTTGTAAAAGTAGATCGGAGGATGTTGCATATGTTTCATATGTTGTAATTGTTTTAGAGGCATGTTGCAAGCGTATGTTTCGAGTGTTTCATATGTTTTAGAGGTATGCTTCATCTATGTGTTCTTGACGCATGTTGCAAGTGTGTTTATCTGGATGTTGCATATGTTTCACACATACGTTGCATTTGTTTTATTTGGATATTGCGTATGGTTGCAATGGTTTTCAAGTGTTTTCAGGTGTTTTTTCAAGTGTTTCAGAAGCATGTTTCAAGTGTTTCATCTACCTTCAGACGTACGTTACAACTGTTGTATTTAAATATTTCAAAAGTGGATCGGGTGTTGCATCTCTCCTCCCACCATCTGCTGCATCGCCTCGGTGTGTCCTCCCAGCGTCGGCAGGGAATCCATACGATGCCGCGGCCGGGTCCTTCCGAATCGGAGGCGCCGCGCCCCTTCCCCGCTTGTCGCTCGGGTGACGTGGGCCCCACGTGAAATGCGCGAAACAGAGTGCAGCGCGCAGGCGTCCGCCCGGCCATCCGGGCGCTAGCACTACCGATTGGAGAATCTTCAGGTAGTTTGGGTACCAGGAGTAATTATCCGAATTACCCAAATTAATATCGGGTAATAAGAATCAGGATCTGAATTTTAGATCGGGAACTGCAGGTTCGGGTATTTCGGGTTCCGGTAGCGGGTATTTTGCCCGGGCCTAGAGGAGATTTGGATAAGATTAGAACAAATAGAAATAGAATTTATTTAGGAAATAAGATTGGAATGGAGAGTCCAAACCTATAAGGACTTCTCTAGTTTGCTTGGAATCTAAGGCCTCTAGAGACTAAATATTGGGGTCAATGTAACTGTTTCAATCTTATGTAGAAACTAGATAAGTGCATGTGCGTTTGCACCGGCATCATGAATTTTTATACCCGTCTATGGCGATAGATTTATTCACGGTAACCACCAACAGTTAAAGTAGTTCTCGCAGTTGCCATAGCCACCTGCTTCATCCCGACGGTTATGCTGACGCATGGCACGTGCACACCGTAGGCTCCTATCATCCGGAACTACTGCTAAAAAAGATTTTTAGAGACGTCCCTGTTTATATCAAAAGCAGTTTATTTATAATCGTCTCTACAAATGCATACGAGAGACTCACTTGAAACTGGAGTAGTACACGGTGACCATGGGCATGCCTGCGTCAGTCAAGGTGACCGTGCTTTCGGAGAGGCTTTCATTCGCTCATCTTCGGCAGCGGACGTCGTTCACCGTGACGGTGAGCGGCAACGGCACCGGCGGCCACGGGTAAGATGTCGTTGAGGGTAGCCTGACATGGGTGTTCCCGTGGCACTGCGCGCGGTCTTCGTGCTGCTCGTTGGTATGAACCATAAAGCATTCTACTGACCAGCATGGCGTGCCATGATGTACTGTGGACTGGAGCTTCAAATCTGCAAGTTAGGACCTTTTGTTATAGCTCTGCTTCACTCATGGAGCAGTTTTTTCAGCTTTGGTTGGTGGAGTAGCTTTATTGGTGAAGGTGAAGTTTGTTTAGGAAATAAGATTGGAAATGAGAGTCCAAATCTACAGGGACTCCTCCAGTTTCCTTGGAATCTAAGTCCTATAGGGGCTATAAATATTAAGGTCAATGTAACTGTTTCATTCTTATGTAGAAATAGAGCAGCCGCTCTCCCCTATCTCTCTTTCCTCTCTTGCGCCTCTCCCTTCCTCTCCGCGCCAGCACTCGCTTTGCCATAGCCGCCGCTGCTGCTGCTCCAGCAGCAGCCGTTGGCGCCACCCGCAGCAGCCTCAGCCCCCACCCCCTGAGCAGGGTTGTGATATATATACTTCAGTATTCAGTAAATTTATGGTTAGATAGTGCTAGGATATAGACGACATCAGTCTTAGCTTTGTTTTCATGGTTTACTGAATTCTAACAAGAATAGTATATCAATTTCTATGCTCTGGATATCTCATGGGAGGAGTAACAGGTTTTTTTAGAGGGACTTGCAAAATTGCAGGTATATATATGTGCAAGATTCAGTATGCCAGCCTCCAAGATTTTCCAAAACATTAATAAAAAAAATCTCTAGGCAGCGCGGTGACGTATGATATCGACGCGATCGAGCACCGGGGCCTCAATGGCCCTGTTCGCTTCTCTTATAATCCATACTTTTTAGCTTGTTTTTTCAGCCGGAACAGTGTTTTTCTCTCACAACAAATCAGTCGGAACAATATTTCGGCTTGTTTTTTCAGCGAAGCGAACGGGGCCAATGTCATCACTGACATCAACATCAGCCACTACGTCATGCACAACGCATTGCAGACGCACTTGTATGTTCAGCCCCTCTATTATATTTTTTCTAGATCCGTCGATGGCTAGTAGAGTGTACAAGTTGACCTTGCAATCCATCAAGCAACGGCTAGAAAAGAGGCAGGTAAGCAACGGCTACTTTATCCATGAAAAAATATGTGAAGATTTAAATGTTTCATGCAATCCAAACAACCGAATACTTCCATTCCTATGTTTTGGGATACCATGGGTTTTCACTTTTTTGCTTCCTCTCATTCTTGCGTTTTCTCCCGTTTCTATAATTTAGAATCCTTTATTCCCAATACGGCTGTAGTGTGCTCCAACTTATGCTCATTAATTTTCTTGTAATGTAATTATACGATGCTTCATGCTTGGAAATAATGATATAGCCGTTCGTTGCTCTTAGTATAAATTTTGATTTCGCACAACATAAATACAAACCGTTTTCTCTCTCTTTTTTTGTGAGTGTAATGAGCAACTGATTCATTTCAGAAACAAACTGACGATAAAGACTTGATCATTTGCTTTCAGTGTAGTGGTGAAAATGCAAGGTAAAATAAAAGGGAAAAGAAAAAAATTACATGCATTGTTTCATCTCATCTAGATGAAGCTTATTGTGGCATAATTTCTTGTTTGACACATAAATTCTTCCAATATCCACATGGCAACTGATGAATGCCATGATGTAGTAGGAAATGCATTCTGGAGTGCTAGAGGCGACCGCAATCATAGTTGGCGTGCCTCAGCGACCGATTGCCTAGGAGTGCCAAGACAACGATGCAGGCAAGCTTTGTCACCAGCGACTTGGCACTCCCCAGCATCATCCCAAAGACAAAGGACTCCAGAGACACTAATGCCACCCTTAGCCTCCTCTCTCGGACATACTCCTTAATCGCGACACTGTAGTCGCCGGCGGCGGCTCGTGACAGCGATCGTGCGAGCACGACGGCGTCCTCAAGCCCCGATGCGCCGCCCTGGCCGATGAACGGGCCCATGACGTGCATCGCATCGCCTGCGACCGTCACGACGCCCTTGTGGAAGGTGCCGAACGCGACCTGCCATGGAGGCCGGTACCAGATGTTGTTCACGACGTTCAGGGTCTCCGGATCAGAGTTCCGCAGCATCTCGATGATATCAGAGGGGCAATCTTGAGCTCGTAGCTTCTCTAGCACGGAATCCTTCGCGGCGATCACATCATAGGTGATCCTTCCTGGATGACATCATTGTAAGCACTAGTTAATTACCCTATTCAGCTAGCAGTTTGTCTTGTACTAGTTCCATAAATAGTAAACATTTATTTATATATACCTGATGGAGGAATAGGCGTGAGTACCAAGAAATGAACTAGATTGTCGGTTACTGGAATTCTGCCGACAAAGAACTCCTCTCCTTTCAATCGCAGAAACTCGGTACTAAATGGATGTCCATGTGGATATCTAGTGAAACCACGAAAAACCATGTGCTGGATTGTTTTGGACGCAGACAGTCCTAGGTACTTGGCTACCACCGAATTTGCACCATCACATCCAATCAGGACCTACACGTCGAGATCAATAAAAAGTTTCAGGCAGAGAAATAAGCAAAAAGAGAGGAATCTGTGTCCATTGCACTCTTGAATTTGATCAGACGCATGGTTGTGGAGAACACCTTGGCCTTGATAATGCAACCATCAACTGTAGTAAGAATGGCTCCATGGGTACCAGGATCTTGGTGGATCGCAACCACGTGGCAGCCGAAGCGGAATGCTCCTGAAGGTAAATTCTTGGCCATTGTCTCGATGAGATCCTTCCTTTTCAAGCATCGGAGTTCCTTCCTAGCCAAATCAAGATTGGCCAACTTAATTAGTGCCTCTCTCTATTTGTGTCATAGGAAGACAACTACGAGAACTCGATCTGGCTATATAGTTACGAGTTTTATTTTTATTTTTTTAATACATTTTTATATGGAAATAATACCATGTGGACGAAATTGTCCCACAGACATGATATTATTTTTGAGATTTAGCAGATCCGTGGTATTCTTTTGTCATTTCCTTATGAAAATGTATTAAAAAATCATATACTTTCAGAATAAATAGATTCTTAGAGTTGTCTTAAGTCAAACTCTTAAACTTTGACGGAATTTTTAGAAAAACCCATCAAGATTAATGACATCAAATTAATATCATTAGATATACCGTATAATTTATTTTTATAATCTGCTTATTTTATGTCATGGATGTTGTTACTCTTTCTGTAAAATTAATTAGACTTAAGATAGTTGACTTGCATGGATTGGAATTCATTTATTATTTGGGAACAGTACGCATATTGGAAACGTTGTACTAACCTGAGTGGTAATAACCGGCTAGTCTTGTTGTTCCTTTGCTGCCACACGTTATGATACCTGAAATGTCAGTGTAAAAGCAAGCATTATTGAGTCCCAAAAAAAGGCAAACATACTGATTCTACTACTTGTTCCCTCTGTTTGATGCAAAGTTGGAACTTCTGATCTGCAGTTTGATACTGAATTGTCGCTTTTCAATTTCATGCCATCCGAAGCAATCAAAATGTAATTTTAGGAGAAGTTATCAGGATTAACAAGAGTAGTTGAGAGAAATCCTTGTGTGTAGTGGTTATACTAGCTTATTAATTAGGAGTACGAGTAGAAGCTAGTATTTGTAAGGGTACAAGCTTACGCCGTGACGGGATTGGCAGTTTCCCTTAGCTCTGCAGCCACTCCAAGTTGCTCCAGAACTCTCCATCCGTTGGCATGGATACCAATTGCAACTCCATCTGCTCGTAAGGTCTCAGATTTCTCCAGCACCAGACTAGCAATCCCTTTCCTATATGCAAGTCAGTAAGCAAATTGTTTTGTTGTTCAGAGCTACTCAAGAAATGGAAACTTCGGCAAAGGTGAAGGTTCGACGTAGAAATAAGACTTTTTTTTTATAAAAACGGGGGGAAGAGCTTCCCCATCTAGATTATGTATTAAAAAGCAAACTCCATTCAAATCGTGGAGTTCGCACAAGAGTTTCCCTTTTATGTACCCAAGAATTAGTCCTTCAAACTTCAAACTTGTATATTTTAGGTAAATAACTGATATAAGGGTTATCGGCGAAACAGATACCCTTAGGCCCTGTTTGGGGTAGCTAAGCTTCACTAGTGAAGTCAGTTTTGGGGTTTTGGCTTCACGAGCGGTTTTTTCGGTGAAGTTAAACTGTTTTCGTGACCCCATTTAGCAAAATAGCTTCACATCATAGACCAAAAGAATCAAATGACTATACTGCCCTTGCTGTTTTTTTTTCTTTTCTCTGTTTTTTTTCTCAATCTTCCTCAAGGCGGACGCTCTTTCTTCCTCGTCGTCGGCTTGTCCCGACGCAGATACCCGCTCGGAGCTCGCCCCGTTGGTTGTGCCCCGGCAGTGGTGTGAGCCAAGCCCCTAGTCCCGGCGGACGCGTAGGCTCTCCCGGCGGCCGCGCCCCTGTGCCCTGGAGGTGGCTGCGAGCCACGGCCCCGGTGCTGGCGAGCCCTCTCTAGCGTCATGTGGGCCCTCTGTGGCATCTGCGTGTGTGCTCTCCCTGGCGGCCGCGTGCGTCTGAGTCCGAGCCTGAGCAGGCCGCGCCCTCGGCGGCCGCGACCTTTGCGCGCTCCTTCCCCGAAGGGCACATGCGGTATTTGTGAATAGTTGAGCCCATATGGGATAAGCTATTTTTTTTTAGTTTCATCCCACCTCACCCCTTTGTGAAAGAAAAAAAAAGCTTCACCTATGAAGCTGTTTTAAAAAAAGTGTTTGACAAAAACAGCAACAGCTTATGAAGTTGTTGATGAAACTGTTGCAAATAGAGTCTTTGAAACTCAACCACACAATACATGACAGTCGCCGCATAGAAAATGAAATATACAACTATCTGTGCGATGCTACAGGGGAAGGATTGAAGGAAAAACCGTGATATGGAGCAAGTGCACGCACCGGTGAAGGGCAAGAGCAGTGGCAAGGCCGCAGATGCCAGCGCCGACAATAACGATGCCATGGGCTTCCTCCTCCATGTCTCCTTCCTTGTTTACTCTCCCTCTCCCTCTTCCTCTAATCCTCTATGGCCATATATATATGCACCCGGGGAGAGGACCTCCCCGTCAGAATTAACGAGCAACATGGGTCGAATTCTTTATGGCCGGCAAAGCGGCGATCAAATGAGAAATCTTTAGCACGACGCAAGGTTGTGCTTGTGCACATGTACATTTCTTTTGACTTTTGAGCTAGGATACCCCACTGCTTTGCCGAAGTGCCGTACCAGTATCACGATACGTATCTGTATCAAGGAAGTATCAGAAAATCAAGCTAAAAAATAAATAAAATTAATCTCGATACTTCGTCTATATATATATCTGATACACCTCCGATACTTCCAAGTCCAACACATGTCATCTAATTCGTCAAGGAAAATCGAAGAAGATAGCACTAAGAAGATATGTATAGTAGATGTCGCCGAAGTGCCATATCGGTATCGTGATAGGTATCCAGTACTCTGATACGCCACCGATACCGTATCGAGGAAGTATCCGAAAATCAAGCTAAATAAATAAATAAATTTAATCTCGATACTTTGTCGATACATCTCCGGTACTTCCGAGTTCTAACACATGCCATCCAATTCGTGAAGGAAAATCGAAGAAGATAGCACTAAGAAGAGAGAACGGCTCCAATACTCTTTTTTTTTTAAAAAAAAAAGAACAGCACTGATATCAAAGCAGACAATCTAAATAATTTTTTTTCTTAATTGTTTTTCCTAGCATCCGCATGGGCCTGGCCCGTTCAAGCTCAACCCGTGTCCATCACTGACCACCCTGATTTCAATTAAAATCGAACGCATCTTCCAGATCCCCTTTCTTCGGTGGCCACTCATTTTCGCCCTATTCCTTTGAGCTTATTTGGCTTGTTTTGGCTTGTTTTCAGTCAATGAATAGTATTTTTTTCTTACATCAATTCAACCAACAATATTTTCAGCCATGGTTTATAAGCCCAACATCACCGTACTAAAAACAGGTGCCGCGTAGCCACGTAGCCGCACGTCGCCAGCACTCATAGCAGCTAGTGAATATAGAATTTGTTAGACATACTATTTGAGTCTGCTGGAGTATTAGTCTGATGGCCTGTAACATCATTCGGCCTTAATTTGTGTGGCTAGTTGTACTAGTTCTGTTTTCTGTTACTATTAAATATATACATTATAGATATGCATATTAGTAGTATTTATTATATAATATACTTGCCGTACCGGCGTATCCTAGATTTTGGAAAATAAAGTATCGCTGTATCGACGTATCCGTATCAGCGTATCCGTGACCTTGCTGTTAGCAAAGCCAATCACCGGCCGGTGTGTGTCCCTCGCCAATTCAAAAGCTACGATTGCACCGATACGGGATTCGAGGTCAAAAGCGCCAACAGGGGCCCCAGCTCCTATCGTCCGCGTCAAGATGCCCGAACTTTTTATAATATGGCCTTTTTTAAAAAAAAAGTTTCTTACAATAGACCCCGACGGAAAGAATTGAGGAAATAGACCCTTAGCTCGGCGCCATTCATGCTGGCGCCGAGCTCGGCGCCAGTCACCAGTCACTCTGGCGCCGAGCTCTTGGGCACGGGTCGTGACCTGCCAGGGGGCTCGGCGCCAGAGTGACTAGCGCCGAGCTTGGCGCCATAGATCTTGGCGCCGAGCTCGGCGCCAGTCACTCTGGCGCCGAGGTCCCTGCATTTAACCCCGGCCCATCCTTTCTGCCCGAGCGTTCTTCCTCTTCATTCTCCTCCCTCTCGGATTTTTTCTCTCCCCACTTCACCCTACCTCACGAATCGACATATTGGACCTTGAAAACCTTGATTTGATCAGTAGATCTTCGAGAGCAAGGTATCCTCGCTCCCCTCCTAGTTTTTTTCGCATCGATTTGGTATATATTAGTCGGATTTTTTAACGTAATAATCGTTATCACTTAGGGTTTCATTCTATCCCTCAATATATGTATTATACAACCGTAGTATGATGTCAAGACGTGGAAAAGGTAGCAAATGTAGGCGCATGTAGTTATTTTATGGGTTCATTGTTGTGCATCAAATGGGAAACCCTATGTTTAGAGTTTAATGTCAACTGCTTTCGGTTCTTAGAACGAAATTGGTTGTATTGTAGTTATGGTTCTCATTGATATTTATTTCTGAAGTTTTGATTTATGTTTGTTTAATTACATCCATTTTGTTAGATGGAAGAAATGTTTCGGGAGGAGTTTTGGTGAAAATGGGGTCGTCCTCGAGAATTATACCCCGACGCGTCTAGCAAAGATGCCCCTGTCCCTCCTGACCTCCCTATCCCTAACTGTGACTGTGGTCGTCCGGCCGACGTGTTTCAATCGAGACATCCGGACACAGCGGCTCATTGCTTCTACACATGCAGTTGTTTTAATATAAGTAATTATTTCTACTATCATTTTTCTTTATTTGTGTAAGTATGCTACTAATATTTTGTTCGAATTTCGTTGTGTAGGACCATGAGAGGTGTTTTTTCTTTTAGTGGATCGACGGTGCAGACAAGTTTGATCCTAGGTACCTCCTTTTCGACGATTGGTTTAGAGGGAGGAATCCACGTGAGCGCTTCAAGCAGTGGGTTCCACCCCCTAACCCTCCACCAATGACGGCTGAGGAGAAGCACCTAGCCGTAGTTAGACGACTCAAGGAACCTCCTCTATGCCATTGCGGAGATCGAGGTGTGATAAACTCTGAGAATACGTTGGAATTTGTGTGTCCAAACAAGCATGAAGTAAGTGCAAAGTGTATGTGTTGAAATCTTGAGCTATATGTGTTCATGTACTAATGTCTCCTTATTTAGGAGTTCTCAATGGCGAAGTGTCGTTTCAAATAGTGGTTGTATGGTCCTAAGAACCAATGGCCAGAAGAACCACGGAAGGTTAAGGAAAAGAAGAAAGAAAGGGTAATCTACAGAGCACCTCCTGTCATGTGCGAATGTGGTGTTAAATCTAACTATGGCCTAGTACCTTCGGAGCTTGGAATAGGCCATTATTGCGGCCACATGGTTGAGTACGAAGATGTTCGTTATTTTTGTGGTAAACATGAAATCGTATTTTGTTTCTTTTGGTTAGACATATATGATATAATATTTCTTTTGAACAGAGCACTAGGAAATGCAGGTGAAAACGTTACGATGGTCAAGCTAAGTTCTTGGATGAACTGAAGAAGAGGAAATTAATTGCACGGAAGAGGGGATATGGACCTGACTACGTCAACCTATTCGTTAAACATCATAAAGAAAAGATGCGTCAGTTTGCTAGACAGAGCGGTATTTGTAACCCGATCGATGTTGGGCTTAACAAATGGGGATTGGAGAGACGGATGACGTTAGAGGAGGAGAGGGCAAGCAAGGAGGCAAGGGAGGAGACAAGAGTACATATGCAGGTCTTGAATGAGCATGTTGCTGCATTATATGGCAGTGAGTGCTTGAAAGTCTTTTTTTTCGTTGCCTGATTTTAAATGTAATATAATCGCGTTGCTAACTGATTGCATTTTATACATGAAGGGATTGGTTGCAGCGAGGATCATGCCGCAGAGGTGGCTCGTGCAAGGTATGAGGAGAAGAAGTTAGATGAGCATAGATCGTGAGCTGGTCGCACTGTTCAATCATCGATTATGTTGTCTGATGAGGGGGGCGAGGATGAGGACGACACTGGAAGACTGAGTGAGCTCATTGCTCTAGCAGAGGCGGGCATGCAGGCGCAAGAGGATGACGACAGTACTGGCAGACTGAGCGAGCTCATTGCTCTAGCAGAGGCAGGCATGCAGGCGCAAGAGGATGACGATGACACTAGCAGACTGAGCGAGCTCATCGCTGTAGCAGAGGCGGTCTTACAGGCGGAGGAGGATGACGACGCGTTCTTCACTCAAGCCGCAGCGGCCGCAGATGAAGCGGAGGCCACTTACTACAGGCGACAGGCAGGTCAGAGCAACGCAGGTGAGCCTAGCCGCAGCAACAGGGCTGTGGTAGAGGACTGGTACTCGGATGATGAGGTGCTTACTCAGTATGTTTCGGACTGAGGATTTGGAAGTGCATTTGCCCTTATGTCTACTATCGGTACGTACTTCTAGTAGTAATATGTTGTGTAATTTGGCATAGTATTGAACTTTTAATTATGTGGTTGTTTTCATTAATTATGGTCTTAATATTCTGCTTAATGATACGGACGTATTGAAATGTGAACATGTGCTGCAAAGAAAACCTAACGACGTACGGCATTATATAAATCAACACACGAAACACATGAACTGGCATGTGACCTCAGCCCTTGGATGAAACAATCATAAGATGGATGGTGGAGATAGAGTGGAGTTGTGCTTTCTTGCATGCCAGTACTATGTCAGTGATGTGATAAATCGCTGTTGTCCCTGTATATGAAATGTCTATTTTTATTATCTGAAAAACATAGAATCCTTCACTGTTGCTTGGTAACCCTAGATTCATCTACAAAGCGTATGTACGATACGTTTGGATTATACACTTCCTAATAAATTTATAGTTAATCTGTGTGCTACATTTGTGCCTTTTTAGCAGTGTAGTATGATAATTGTTTCACGAAAAAAATTCGCAAGAGTTTTCCTTGTTTTATGAGCATCCACAGTTACAAACAAAGACATCATTATATATTCCAAATATTTAATCATCCAAGGAGCAAAATGCAACCACAACGAACATCACAACCAACATAATATGTGCTGTGCAGTCCAAATAGTCCACAATGTCCATACAGTCCCAAATAGTTATAGAAAAGTAAATACAAAATCCATAATAGTGCATACCAACAACTACCACATCCCTCACTGCCTCCTACTCTTGCCCTTACCCTTGTGACCGAGAGCGCTCGTACCTAGAGTGTAAGGGTCACGCGGACGGCGTCGCCTAGTGCCTAGAGGCGGTGTAGGATGAGTCGAGGGAGCGTCATGGAGCTGAGAGGGGCCAAGCTCTTCGTGGCTCTTGTCCACGTCGTCCTCGTCGTCG